AGAAGGTGACTCGGGTACTGAGGGGCAAGCAGGCGATGGTGGCGACGCCGAGGAGTACGATGCGTATGAGGACACTGGCACAGAAGAAGGAAATGACAACGACGGGGCCACAGGAGATGAAGGTGAAGGTATTGACGGAGGCACAGAAGAAGGCGACTCGGGTACTGAGGGTCAGGCCGGAGAGACTGCAGGTGGTGTCGTCGAGGAGGAGTTTCAGAACCAAGACGCTACAGGAGATGCTATTGATCAAGTAACAGGAGAGACGGACGTGGAGTTCGTCACTGTGTTCGTGGAAGGTGAGGGAAAAATATTTGTTCGGTAGCAGCAACAGGCGGGAACACTGGGTGGTGAATGAACACTGGGTGGTGAATGAACACTGGGTGGTGAATGAACACTGGGTGGTGATGGAACAATGGGTGGTGATGGAACACTGGGTGGTGATGGAACAATGGGTGGTGATGGAACACCGGGTGGTGATGGAACAATGGGTGGTGATGGAACAATGGGTGGTGATGGAACAATGGGTGGTGATGGAACAATGGGTGGTGATGGAACACTGGGTGGTGATGGAACACTGGGTGGTGATGGAACACTGGGTGGTGATGGAACAATGGGTGGTGATGGAACAATGGGTGGTGATGGAACACTGGGTGGTGATGGAACAATGTGGTGATGGAACACTGGGTGGTGATGGAACAATTGGTGATGTTGGAACACTGGGGTGATGGAACACTGGTGGTGATGGAACAATGGTGGTGATGGAACAATGGGTGGTGATGGAACAATGGGTGGTGATGGAATGGGTGGTGATGGAACACTGGGTGGTGATGGAACACTGGGTGGTGATTGAACATTGGGTGGTGATGGAACAATGGGTGGTGATGGAACACTGTGGTGATGGAACAATGGGTGGTGATGGAACAATGGGTGGTGATGGAACAATGGGTGGTGATGGAACAATGGGTGGTGATGGAACACTGGGTGGTGATGGAACAATGGCTGGTGATGGAACAATGGGTGGTGATGGAACAATGGGTGGTGATGGAACAATGGGTGGTGATGGAACACTGGGTGGTGATGGAACAATGGGTGGTGATGGAACAATGGCTGGTGATGGAACAATGGGTGGTGATGGAACAATGGGTGGTGATGGAACAATGGGTGGTGATGGAACACTGGGTGGTGATGGAACAATGGGTGGTGATGGAACAATGGCTGGTGATGGAACAATGGCTGGTGATGGAACAATGGGTGGTGATGGAACAATGGGTGGTGATGGAACAATGGGTGGTGATGAACACTGGGGTGATGGAACAATGGGTGGTGATGGAACAATGCTGGTGAGAACAATGGGTGGTGATGGAACAATGGCTGGTGATGGAACAATTGGTGGTGATGGCAATGGGTGATGGAACAATGGGTGGTGATGGAACACTGGGTGTTGATGGAACAGGGTGGGATGGAACAATGGGTGTGATGGAACACTGGGTGGTGATGGAACAATGGGTGGTGATGGAACAATGGGTGTGATGGAACAATTGGTGATGGGAACAAGGTGTGATGGGAACACTGGGTGTTGATGGAACAATGGGTGGTGATGGAACACTGGGTGGTGATGGAACACAGGGTGGTGATGGAACAATGGGTGGTGATGGAACAATGGGTGGTGATGGAACAATTGGTGGTGATGGAACAATGGGTGGTGATGGAACACTGGGTTGATGGAACAATGGGTGGTGATGGAACACTGGGTGGTGATGGAACACAGGGTTGATGGAACAATGGGTGGTGATGGAACAATGGGTGTGATGGAACGGTGGATGGAACAATTGGTGGTGATGGAACAATGGTGTGATGGAACACTGGGTGTTGATGGAACAATGGGTGGTGATGGAACAATGGTGTGATGGAACAATTGGTGGTGATGGAACACTGGGTGGTGATGGAACAATGGCTGGTGATGGAACAATTGGTGGATGGAACCTGGGGATGGAACAATGGGTGGTGATTGAACAATGGGTGGTGATGGAACAATGGGTGGTGATGGAACAATGGGTGGTGATGGAACAATGGGTGGTGATGGAACACTGGGTGGTGATGGAACAATGGGTGGTGATGGAACAATGGCTGGATGGAACAATGGGTGGTGATGGAACAATGGCTGATGGAACAATTGGTGGTGATGGAACAATGGGTGGTGATGGAACAATGGGTGGTGATGGAACACTGTGTTGATGGAACAATGGGTGGTGATGGAACAATGGGTGGTGATGGAACACTGGGTGGTGATGGAACAATGGGTGGTGATGGAACAATGGGTGGTGATGGAACAATTGGTGGTGATGGAACAATGGTGGTGATGGAACACTGGGTGTTGATGGAACAATGGGTGGTGATGGAACACTGGGTGGTGATGGAACACAGGGTGGTGATGGAACAATGGGTGGTGATGGAACAATGGGTGGTGATGGAACAATTGGTGGTGATGGAACAATGGGTGGTGATGGAACACTGGGTTGATGGAACAATGGGTGGTGATGGAACACTGGGTGGTGATGGAACCTGGGGTGGTGATGGAACAATGGGTGGTGATGGAACAATGGGTGGTGATGGAACAATGGGTGGTGATGGAACAATTGGTGGTGATGGAACAATGGGTGGTGATGGAACACTGGGTGTTGATGGAACAATGGGTGGTGATGGAACAATGGGTGGTGATGGAACAATTGGTGGTGATGGAACACTGGGTGGTGATGGAACAATGGCTGGTGATGGAACAATTGGTGGTGATGGAACACTGGGTGTTGATGGAACAATGGTGGTGATTGAACAATGGGTGGTGATGGAACAATGGGTGGTGATGGAACAATTGGTGGTGATGGAACACTGGGTGGTGATGGAACAATGGCTGGTGATGGGAACAATTGGTGGTGATGGAACACTGGTGTTGATGGAACAATGGGTGGTGATTGAACAATGGGTGGTGATGGAACAATGGGTGGTGATGGAACACTGGGTGTTGATGGAACAATGGGTGGTGATGGAACAATGGGTGGTGATGGAACAATGGGTGGTGATGGAACACTGGGTGGTGATGGAACACAGGATTGGTGATTGAACATTGGTGGGTGATGGAACACTGGGTGGTGATGTGGAACACTGGGTGGTGATGGAACACTGGGTGATGGAACACTGGGTGGTGATGGAACATTGAGGTGGTGATGGAACAATGGGTGGTGATGGAACACTGGGTGGTGATGGAACAATGGGTGGTGATGGAACACTCTTTTCTTATAAGATCTAAAGATCTGAATAACTGATCTATTGAGAAAAAATAAATGTTCTGTTCAGTAGAGTGGCAATCAAGTTATTACATGTTTTAAAAAAGTGCACGTTAAAACACAACACTTTTCTTTAGTGATCTGTAACTTAATGTTTATTTCCATGTGCGTTCTTTTCCAGTGCTAACTTAATCTCCTTTTCTAACCTAGATTCCACTACGACTCTACTACCAGATGGCTCCACCACCATCTCAAATGAACAACCACTACAACTCCTACGACCTCGGTTAGACCACCAATGAACCAACTACTACAAGCATGACAAACCACGACCACAAAGTACCACCACATTATCTGACATCCGATTCCTTCAGCTACGACTTCTACAACGACTATGACAACTACTACTACTCCTCGTCTGTCTACCCACGCACGACTACACTGGGACCTACAGTGAAGGGAATCGATGGATATGGAGTCTCAGAAATGTGTTCTGGCAGCCAACAACTGGCCCAACTTCCATTTCACCAGTGCGGTTTGGTGTGTTCGTTAATGTCGCCGGGCAAAACAACAGGATCAGGGCGGTCCAACAGCTTTGGACAAATTGATACTAGTGTCAGGCAAACCAACAACGGTTTGGGCAGACCAGTAGACTAAAACAGAAGGGGTTAATGGGGAGGCAAATACACCAGATGCAAAGACCGGCGTGAGTCCACAGAAATATGCTCCTTGGAACCTTAATTCAACATTACTCCGGTGGAAAAAGGAAGTATCACCAGCAGCCCTACGAGCAATGGTAATCAGGGCGCACCAACCAACAGGCTATCGGGCACTGCAGCTCCCGGGTGTGATGCCACAAAATTACCATTCACAGTGTCAGCCCCAACTGACAGACTGGCAACTGCAGCAAACACAGTCTCAATAGGTCTCTGAGTTCCAATAAAGAAAGGATCAGGAGATGGAACTTGGCAATGGCAATCAAAGTTCCAGGAGAAGAATAATCCTGGAGTGCTGCAGTCTGGGACCTCGTTACTCGGCTAACACCCACAGGAGGCCCATCAATACCGCTTCGAGGATGTGGACCTGGAATTGAGCTAACCTGGAAGAGTTAGTTAGAGAGACACTCATCCGTGTCTGGCAGATTCAAAGCCTTTGTTAATCACTTTATGTTGTTATTTTATAACATTTATAAATATTTTGAGCATGTAAGTAAATATTTCTACTATAGTATAACCAAAAGGCATCAGCCTCCATGATGGTTTCTACGAGCACATTATCATATAAAAGTTAGTGCCTCGTGCTGTTGATCTCGGCTAGTTGGATAGTAGTCACTAGGAGGCTAATTTAACGAGGTGCACCGTATTACGTTTCATTTGACACCAACGTTATATATATATATATATATATATATATATATATATATATATATATATATATATATATATATATATATATATATATATATATATATATATATATGCAAATAAATCATGTAGTGAATTACACAGGCTAGGAACTTCGTGTTTTTTTCTTGTGGTTATCAGCATATATATATATATATATATATATATATATATATATATATATATATATATATATATATATATATATATATATAATATATATATATATATATATATATATAGTTTTTATATTATATATATATATTATATTGTTCAAACAAAGTAAGACTATTGGAAGCAGAAGTCGTACACTTACTGTTCTGCTGCCTGGCTGGCTGACATGCGTCTTGTCATCTTCCTGTGGAGAAACATCTTTGAGAATATCTGACACACACACACATATATGTAAACATGCATACACTTTATATTGGGGAAAATCAAGTTTTATTACAGATGTAACAGATCACACAGTCAGGGCTTTAGTATACTTTGAGAAGAGTGAATATTTGGACTGACTTGAGTATGAAGTGAGCACTACACAAATACTTGCTACATTCAGTGAAGCATTCCCACAACAAATGTTGGTTAAAATTGGTTACCTTTATTCAAAAATCTTACAATGTAATTGAAATACTATTTACCACGAAAGTTATGGAAGAAGCAAGAACCCGGTGAAAAAATTTCAGGTGTCTCACCTAGAGGCTGTAGTGTGTATTTAATTGATGATGCACAGTACAGAGCACAGTAACTTAAGGAATTAATAAAATAACAATCATGTTACTTCAATTTCTGTCCTCAGTTCACGCTTATATTTTAAGTGTTTATTTGTTTCTTCATTTTTCTATTTTAGACGTTACGTAACGTAACCTAACCAACTATTTTCTATAAGCATAAGGCTTAGTTTACCTGACCATTCTAACACATTTTCATCCAAAGAAAATGGACCCCAATACCAGAAACGCAAAAAAAGATTTATAATGTCAAATTCTCTACTTTTTATGTCCGAAATATATGTAAAAGGAAATAAAATAATATCCCAATAATTCATTCGTATAAATTCATTCTAAAGGTACTCATAAAGCAAATCTCTTGAGCCTTCTACTTCAGTTTAATTTATTAATAATAAATAGCGGTAACGTAGAGTTTACATTACCTCAACCATTTTTACATTATTAAACTGTATTTTTAGTTTTTATACTATTTTACCCACGATGAAACTTTTAATATATTTCACCTAGAAAATAATAAATATTTGATGGAAAAATAAAATATATAACAGTTTGAGCATGAAAATAGACATCAAAGAATATGATATACTTTTATGGGGTAACACCAGAAAAGAGAGATATGCATGTTGTATGGCAACCACTATTGCTGAGCTCATGGATTCAAGTCCTGCTTGCCCTGACATAGGGGAATGGCGTTACCAAGTGTGACTACCAAACATCACAGGTCCCGAGTGTTGTAACTGGGTCAAGGAGAACTCATTCAAGTAAAATGTGTACCAACGCTGGACAGAGTTAATCAAACAACAGAATCAATAGCCCGAATGGTTAGTAAGCTGACGAGCAGTGAAGTGATTAAGAAATAAATAAATAAATATCTGGTAATTTGCTAGTGAGCTGCCAGAACAGAAAGACCAGGTGATCGTTGTCTTACCTCTAGTAGAAAATATCTGGGACATGTGCAGGAGGTGGTGTTACGGGCACTAATACAGCCAATTGTCGATATTGTGCATGTATATTAAAAGTTAATTAAATTGTGTATTATATGTTGGTGTAATAATCATAAAATAGTAAAAATAAAATGTTGTACAGTTAACTAATATGAATTATGTACACCTCTGTTTGTTATCCTATTAGCTTTTATCTTCATTTCACAATAAAAATGTAAAACAATGTATGAACCTTAAATTATATACATTGTTACGAAGTTTATCCTCAAATAAAAAACCAGTTAGGAATATTCCTGTTAATTAATCTGTTTTCAGTTCAGGAGCAAGTTTTTTCCTTATCGCCACAGGAAAGTAATTCACAAAGTTTTTTCACGTTTATATTTAACAATACAGCAAGAGTCTTGAAGCACCTATCTTGTTGTTGTTCTGGCTTGACTCGGCTGCTAGACTGCTGTTATATCCTGTCTGGTAAACACATTTTAAAATTGTTGATACAATAACTGCTGCGTGATAGGTCGAGCAAAATTACCGGTACACGTGCCCGAGTGACGCAAACTTTATGTAGAGATTAAAAGGTAGCACGAGGCGGGTTTTGGAGCACCTGTTATGTGTGTATGGTGGAAGACTTTTATTGTGTGTACATCTGTGGGTTTTAAAACAGTGATATGATATCTATGAACCCTTCTAACTAAAAAACATTACCTTATTAAATGGGTGGTGTAATTATGTTTAAAGGTAAGTTAGGGCACTGATATTCGGCTCATAAGCACACCCCAAATGTTTTTGTTTCACACACACACACACATCATCAATAATATCATCATCAATATCAACAATATCATCATCAATATCATCATCATCATCAACAATAACACACCTTCGAACCCTGAAATAACCCATTATGACTAGGTAAATTTGTCGGGAAATACAACACTGAAGAACATTGAGTCTTCCTTTGGTGTCCTCACCCTGCTCCACTTTTTCTGGTCTTATTAAAGTCTGTGTCTATGTAATTGCTGGTCTTGTTCTGCCTCTGTATTGAGATCGAGTAAAGCAAGATGTGATATGGTGTTTTTTTTCTGTGGGTAGTATTTGGTATTTAATTGTCCTGGTGGGGAGTAGTATAGGGGATTTGGTCTGGTGGGGGAGTAGTATAGGGAGTGATTTGTCCGGGGGGAGTATAGGAGGATTTGTCCGGTGGGGAGTATAGTGAGTGATTTGTCCGGTGGGATTTGTCTGGGGAGGAATTGTTCTTTGGGGAGTTATCTGGGGAGGGGATGTGCTGGGGAAAACGTCTTGCCACTCTTGACATATTCTTTTAAATATCCGGCAATTTGTTCTGGTGTTTTTTTAATTAATTAATCGTCAGTTTTTAATATTTGTATAAAATTGTCCGTCATGGGTTTCTGATACATGTAATGACAACTGAAACTGCTTGGGGAAATATTCTAGCAATGTTATTAAATACTGATCACCTGAAGATTACCCTCGGCTTAGTCCATTTGAAGATTACCTCAGCTTATTCCACAGGAATATTACCAGCAATACGTAACCGAACGAAAGGCCATCA